GAAAAATGAGTTTGAGAAAAATGGGTATGCTTGGTACCAAGTACAAATTTTATGCTTGGTAGTGAGGTGTCATATTCTCATCCACTTATTCTAATTCCCAACCACTCCCCAACCCATGTGAATGTGGGCTTCGATTTTAATAAGTGGAGGGGAATATGCCACCTTATTAGCAAGCATAAAAACTTGTGCTTGGTACCAAGCATACACATCTCTGTGTGTGTTGTGTGTGTGTGTATATATATACACACCATACAAAGCATAAATTTAGTAACTCTTAATTAATCCTTAATCCTTGTACCCATACTTTGGTTGGCCTCGTAGGAGACAAATAATAGAGATTGCCACTTACAAACATAGCAAATAATAGAGATTTCCACTTACGAACATAGCATTTTCACAAAGTTAAGCTTAAGTATATATCTCCGGGTTGAAGATCCCCTTAAAAAAAGGGCCTGCTATGTACTTTAACTCGCCAAAATGAATGAATGAGTGAGTAAATAAATAAATAAAACAAAATAAAATAAAAAAAAGCGTTAACTCATGCCTATTAACACCACAAAAATTGCACATTAAGAATTCATCGATCAAGCTTGAGCTTGCGCGCTTAATTACAAAAGAATTATAGTATCGAAATAAAATAAGTTTGGAGTAAACTAAAATAAAGTGCAAATGATTTACGGTTGTAATGGATTTATGCATGTTTCGCAAGTGGTCAAAGTGGTTTATAAACCACTTTGAGATATTTTGACAAGTGACTTATTTTAGTTTACTTGTAAGTCTAAAAAAAAATAAGCTAGGGTATATTAGACTACGAGGATGTTTGGGAAGGCTTATTTTTTTAAGTTTTTAAGTTATGCTAGTTTTTATTGGCTTTTAGCTTTTTTTTGATAAAAATGTTATAAAAATTGTTAGAGTAGAATAATAATTTGTTTGGTCAAACTTAGCTTTTTAAAATAAGTTTATAAGTTAGTATTTCAAAAGCTGAGGTATACTAGATTTTTAAAATGAGACTTATAAGCTAACTATTAGGCATTTTACTAAACATGTGGAAATGAAAAAGATAGCTTAAAAGTTAGTTTGACAAAAAAAAAAGCCTTCTTAAACACCCACTACATTTTGTGGCTTATAAGCCATGAAGTTTGACCAAATAAAAGTCACTTGTACCTCTTATGATTTAACAATTCCAAAGTCTTATATAACAAGGCATCATCCACTATTATGGTGTTTTCAATCACCTAAGTGCAGTTTTTTGTCAGCAACAGACAAATGTACTTCTGCATGCAATGCCCCAATCAAGTTGGCGGCCGAGACTAATAATGATTCCAATCTAGCCGACTCGCCAAGTCGACATTCCTTCATGACGACTCGAATGACGGAACTTGTCGGTCCTCTTGTCGAAGACGACTCACAGCAAGTCCACTCGACCAGCTATTCAACGCCTCACGAGGTTAACTCGAAAGGCGTTACTTCTTGGAGAAGTTAAAAGACAACTTCAGCTTTGAGCCTCTCCCGCTGACACCACGTCGACGTCGTATTTAATGCTTAGCAGACACCGTCATACCTCTAGCCTTGATAGTCTTCATGACTCATCGGACCACGTCGGCACCGTCATGCCTCCAATCACTTCTCATTTAATGCTGAGGTGATCTCTCCTCCAGTCACCAGCCGACAGCTGTAAAGCAGGAGCTGACTCAGCCGCCAGCCCATGCTTCTTCACCACCATCCTATGCTCGGCCACAATAACGGTTCTGCCCCTTCGGCACCACTATAAATATATGTACTATTCTAACATAAAAAAGGGTTCTAAAGGTTCCAAAATCAGTGTCATTTGCAAACTATACTGCACACACAATAACTCTTACAGTTCTTCATTTTCCCCACTTAAGTTCACCAGTTGACTTGATCGTCGGAGGAACCACGGGCGAACTAGTTCTCGTCCTCTCATGAGTGTTTATATGTGCAGACTTTTCAGCAACTAAACTCAGAATCTGATATTCGGGGAAGGAAACGACCCCTTATCAACTTCACCCCCATCCAACCACGGATATAATTGACTGTGTGATCACTTAACATCAACATCCGCCATATGTCTTTTTGGTCATTTTGGCAACTATGATCAATCTATTTGCCAAACACTCTATTATTCAAAATGAATAACAATCCACTAAAGCTAAAACAATTTAGATTATAATCCATTTATAGATCATAATACAACTTGATTCTAATCCAAAGTTTCTAAACATCTATTATTATTTATGTTATTACGTAATATTCATTTTAGATGTTGTTTGATTGGCTCAGAAACGAAGAAAAGGAAATAAAAACATCTGACACACCATGTGAATAGGCGTTTGATTTCCTTTTCTTGTGTTTGGTTGACAGAGAGAAAAAGAAATATTGTGTGTGTGAAACCCTCTCATTAGTAAGATAATAGTGTTATGAGTCCCAAATTTAAGGAAACTCATTTCCTCTCATAAAGTCATGAAATGAGCTTGAAAACATGAAAATAGATTCTACAATCTATTTTCCACGAGTAATCTCCCAATCTTATATTTTTATGAAAGGAACCAAACAAGGACTTACCCTCGAAGTCAATAAAACCTATCTTGCCTAGAAGCGAAGAAGGTACCTACGGATGATATCTTAGTGGCCGTCTGAGCACTCACATAACGCCACGTATTCTATGTACATCTAATCACGCTAGGTGCAAAAGTGGGTGTCATATAATTGGGTGCGCTGATTATCTTCAGTAAAGGAAGCCTCTCTTACACTCTCCCCCGTCCCCATGATAAATACGTTACGCCGCAGAAACACCATACACGCGTCTTTCCTCTCCACGTGCTCCGTAACAAAACCCCCCCCAATTTACCCCTATTGGAACTGGAGATGTAATAAGCAGGGAAGCCAGAAACTGAGACAATATTATGGCATATGTGTAATAATATACCAAATCTAGTGGCGTTCTACTAACGCGGTATATACACGGAGCTCCACAAAGTGCTCTTTTGACCGTACGAACCCGCGGTTTCATCCGGAAGAAATACTACCGAGCTCCCCCACTCTCAGATTTTGTTTTGTTTTCTAGGTTTTATTAAAAAAAGGAAAAAAAAACTTCGACTGTGATCTAGGGTTAAGAAATTTGTTCAAGATTCTGGTCAATCTGAGCTGGAGATTTGGGCGAAATGACTGTTGTACCTCTACAATCGTTGCCCCTAGGGTTTCGATTTCATCCGACGGATGAAGAGCTAGTGAATCATTACTTGAAGAGGAAGATCAATGGCCGGATTCGGTCGGAGGTTGAGGTGATCCCTGAGATTGATGTTTGCAAGTGCGAGCCTTGGGATCTTCCTGGTACTCAAATTGCTCTCTTTCCCCCTAATTCCAGCTCTAATTTTGTTTTCTAGGTTTTGATCCTGTAAGGATATAAAGCTTGAATCTTTGGAGTTGGTTTCAGTTTATTTAGTATAAAATTTGCCTGAAAATGAAATATAAGCGATTTTGTTGCTCGATTAGTAAGTTTTGAGCACAAATTGTGATCAGTACTGAAGCTTAACTCATGTAAATGTTGCAGATAAGTCTTTGATAAGATCGGACGATCCCGAATGGTTCTTTTTCTCGCCCAAGGACAGAAAGTATCCAAACGGGCAGCGATCAAACCGGGCAACAGAGGCTGGGTACTGGAAGGCAACAGGGAAAGACCGGACGATCAAAACGAAGGCTCCTGCAACTCCGGCGGTGATTGGGATGAAGAAAACACTTGTTTTCCATCGAGGTAGAGCTCCGAAGGGAGTTCGGACGAATTGGATCATGCATGAGTATCGAGCCACAGAGCCCGAGTTTGAGTCTGGAGAGCAGGTATCACTTTTTTCTTCACAAGTTTAGAAACTTCTATTTATGATGCAAATCTGAATTCATTTGGGAGAATAATGGTAGGTTCTCTGACACGATGTATAATACTTAAACTCTGATGTGCAGAGTCACCACTTCAGTGAAGTTTATTCAGGAGTCAGAAGACATGCCTTTTTTTTTGATCCACTTAGTTATGCCTATTTTTAATATAATAGGGTCTTGGGAAGCACTCTGTTTTAAATAAGGTTTCCTGTGGTAGTTTCTAAGGAGTGTTGTATTTTATAGTATGATATTGTTATGGAACTAACCTTAATTTGACCACGAACCAGAGGTAGTACTGATCAACATGGGGCAGTCGGTGGTATTTATTACATTTTTAAGTCTCTGAATTGTTTTTTTAACCCTGTTGTCAGTGGGTAAAATCTTGCACGAGGAAGTAATGATCAACATGCAAGAAGTTTGCACATGCATTGATTTGTTCTCAGGCTAAGAAAAACTTACCCTGGCTATGAAACTAGAGGCATAATGATTATTATCAGTCATTGAGTAGTTTTTAATATGTTTCTGGATTTTTTGTGAAGCCCCATTGTCATAGTTTTTAAAATGTTACGTGTGTCCCCCTCTTGAAACAGAGTATCCATGCAGGTTAGCCATAACACATCGTTTGCCTTTTTTGAGTTAAGATATTTCTAGTTGATCGATACTGTCCATTTGATTGTTTATTAGGTACAGTGTAACTTTAAGACCAGAGGTTGACCACTAGCGTTACTAGTTTCAACTCTTGTTATTATATATATTTAATCTTGCAGCTTAGTTTTAGATGATGGAAGACAGAACCCTCCATTTGTCAGCTGATGATTGTTGATACGGAGGTAAATATATTTTGGCCGGAGCTGGGTGTTCCATTAAGGAGTGCAGTACTCTATTCTTTTTATTCTTCGTTATGTGAATTTATTCTCTATGAAGTGTAAGGCTGTTATTGATGTGATTGTCCATGGTGTCTGAAACTTTATGAAGTGAAAAATAGCAGCTGAAGGAAAGTAGATGATGCAGATGCACTTCTCTTAAAAAGGAAGACATTGAGTCTGAAACGATTGAACTGATATTCTCCGAAAGTGAGATGTTGAGTCTAAATAATCAAACCTCTGATTTGCTAATTGGTTTACAATTAGGCCTGGGGACCTGGATGTAGAAGATGCATTTTGTTTCTTTAATTATTCTCTCCTGAGATATTCAGGGAAACAGGACATGCTAACATTTCCCATGGTTGTAAAGCTTTATTTCATTCTTATGCTTTTATGCATTTAAGTTTTCAAAGGTTAAATGAGTTCTCAGTCTTGTAGTGCACATGTTTCAATAAATTTTTTCTCTGTTTTTATATGTTAGTATGTGCTTTACAGGGTGGGTTTGTGCTTTATCGTTTATTCAAGAAGCCTGAGGAAAAGGTTCCAAACTGTAATGGTGATGAAATTGAAAGGAGTGGTTTCTCTCCTACTCCAACCAATACGTCTCCAGGTGACACACAGCATGAAGAAGATGCCTTTGAAGAACCTGAGACCCCAGTACTGGAGACACCAGTAAACAAAGTATCCCCGCTCTCAGAGATACAAGATGACGCACAGGCTGTGCCCAATGATGGTAAGAATCAACCCTCAGGCATTACAAGATGGCTAGCTGATAAAGCTGATCGCACTTCTATGAAAGCAGAGGATGGCCATTGCAATAGTCACGTTACAGTTGAACATGAGGCTGAAGCCGGAGCAGTGGTGAGGAGATTTCTCAATAAATATCATTTGTAGCTCTACTTAAAAAAGTTAACAACATAAAATAACATCAATGCGTTTGACTTTAGGTGGACCCTCTGCTGGATGCTTTAAGACCGTTCTATGATCCGAAAGCTGAGCAGATAGATTCAAATGGTTTTCCTAATATCACATCCCCAACGCAACCTTACAGTAATCACCCATTCATTGGCAGCTCTGATCAAAAATCACATATGGGATTCTATCAACCTGAGTACAATGAAAATGATTCCATAAATGAGTTCTTGAAGTCAATATTGATTACTCAGGATGAGTACTCTGAAGGCTCAAAGGTTCTGCAGATGTCCACAGCTGGAGCTTTACACAGTCATTCTGGCAGTGAAGTTGATACTGAAGTAGGATTACCTCCAGTAAACTATTGTCATTAATTCAGCCAAATCTCTAAGAAGAATTTATTGACTTTGTTGCTTTTCTGCTCAATTTTGTATAATGCAGGGAGGTCCAGGCTTTCATGATCCTGGTTGGTTCTGCATGGATACTTGGAATGATTACCCTGAGATCAACAGTGCTCTCTATGAGAACACCAGCTTGCTTCCTTATGATAGCACTGGGCCTGATGTGTATTCGGTAGATTCCGGTGCTGATTCTTTGCAGGAGTTGTTTAATAGCATGAAGGAATCTAATGGTCATGTGAATGCTTCAAGCAATGAAGCTAGTCCTGAGGAAACTGGAATTATTGGCATTAGGATGAGGTCTCGGCAGCCACAGAATTCTATGAATACTTCATCCAATGAAATTGGCCCTGTGGAAACTGGAATTACTGGCATCAAGATTAGGTCTCGGCAGCCACAGAATTCAGCTGTGGATAATTTATCGGCACAGCAGGGCCATGCAAGAAGAAGAATTCGCTTGCAGTGTTCAGTTCAAGCTAGGGAACTTAGTTTTGAGGGTGAAATGAGAAGCAAGAAAGAAGATACTGAAGACGAAGAGGCAACTGTAGAGGTGAGAAGAGTTTATTTGAGTTATATGAACAGAGTACTAAGTACTAACATACTCTTTAACTATGGTCTGCAGGTAGAGGAAATTGAGGAACATGCTGAGATTGTCAATGCGAAAGCAGTCCCTGATCCTTTACCCGTCATAAAGCGTGAAGATTTATTTGTTCAGGGTAACATATTGTGTATCTTTGAAGCATTCTGCTGGTATGTCTGTGTAAGGTTCTACTTCCTAACCTTGGATGCTTTCCTTGCTGTTTCAGATGATACTACTGCCTTAAAAGCCGAAGCTTGTTCTTTGGACATCTCTCAAGAATTTAAACCTAATTTGAGATTGAGAGCAAAGTCGACCAATGAGACTACCGAATCTGACAAACTCAAAGGCCCAGCTCCACTGATTAAGACATCTAGACCTGATGTGGTCATCGGTTATGTTGTAGGGTTTATAGCTATATTTATGATCCTTGTTTTATTTTTTGTTGGGATACGGAAATTTGGGAGATCTCGAGGGTATGTTGGTATCTGAGAGCTCTTTCTAATTCTTGGAAAAGCCCGTTTTGGTTTACTTTTGTAAATATGCACCACCTGACCTGATAATAGAGTGTGGAGATGTTCAGGTGCTTCTAGTTTTATGTTATGCAGCTGGTAGCTTGTTGTGCTGTTACTTTATCTGCAGGAGAAGATATAGAGTGTTTGTTCAACAAAGTAGCTTGTTTTTGTAAAAATATATTATATTTCTGCAAGAATTCTGTAGTCATGTGTTGATTCCATATTGATGGTATAATACCAGTAGTTAAGTTTTAGTCTTTGTTTGCTGTTATGTTGTAATTTGTGATTTTGCTGTTTGGTTGTGTACATGACTCCACAGAAAGAAGGTTAATGATCTCTTATGCTTTTGGTGCCCAGGGTCTCTCTTATGATCTGATAGGGACAAATTTTGAAAACCAACCCATTTCCAAGCTTATTCATAAAAAACGACCTATTTGAAACTTATTTGTCAAAAGGTGAAAAAAATACCAAACTTCACGGGACTAAGTTTTTTATTTAATAAAACTTCACAGGACCCGTGAAGTTTGATATATTTTTTTTGCCAAAAACGACCCAGTTTCAGTTTCAGCCAGTTGGTTGAAATTGGGTTGATTTTTACAAATAAGTTTTAAAGAGGTCGAAATGAGTTGCTTTTCAAAATTTGTCCATCTCATAGTGATGCTCTTTACCTGCTGCTTTTATTCGCTCAGACAGGAAGCCTCATATTTATCATTTCTCACTCTTTATCACTTTAGAAAGTACCCAATTACTCCTATCCATGTCCTCTACTTCTCCATTCCTTCTTATTTTAATGATTGGGACTAAGCTACGCATAATTTTTAATGTTATCTTAAAAATTACTATTGTTTAAAGAATTATTATTGCGAAAACCATTATTTTAGGAAAAATATCATAGTTTAATGTTGAACTAAAATGCCATAATAATTAAATAAATTCACAATTTAATCCATTTCCAGTATCTCCAAGCCCGAGACCAAACCTCACGTAGTAAAAGGGGGCGGCCTCTCGGCTCTCTTTCCTCTCTCTCTCTCTCTCTCTCTCCCTTTCTTCTCTCTAAAATTCCAATGGCCTCATCATCATCGTCATCATCATCATCATCTTTTTCCAGTCTCTCTGCAAAAGCTCGCCCTTTCGTTCCCCCAACACATCGTCACTCTTCGTCAAAATCCACGCTCTCGGCTAAAGCTCCCCCCTTTACCAAGCCATCATCAAATACGCGCCTTTTCATTGAACCGTACGTGCCCTCGCTCGATGACTTCGATGATTTTGAATTCTGGTTTCGTGATGACGGAGCCCCGTCCGCTTTCGGTGGTACTATCTCTCTTGTTAATTTGTTTGATGATTTTGCCAATTTTAGTGCGTTTTTGTCTGTTCTATGATGTGGGTTTTCTTAAAGCTGCCATCTTGGGAACTGGGTTTAGCGAAGTCGATGCAAGCTGAGAATTGTGGAATTGGTAACTCCCATTTTGTGTAGGATTATAGTTGAGAAATCCAGGTGTCTTGAAGTTCAAGAAGTCAAAATTCCATGGATTCCTTGTGTTTGTTTGTGGTTATAATTCTCAATGTTTGTTATTATGTAATAGCTAGTGACCCTTTTAGAAATCCTATTAAGTTCTGAAGGGCGGGGGGGTAGGTTTTTGTTGGCACTTGTTGATGTTAGTCTTAAATAATTGAATGCTGAATTGTGTCTGGACGCTTGTGCGTTTGTGTTTGTTTGTTTTCATGAAGCTGGCTACTTTTTTCTGTGTCTTCGATATATCGTGTTGTTTAGGAGGGGAATTTTGTTAGTTGTTAGGTTTAGTGAAGTTCATGCGGAAGAAATGTAGAATGTTAATGATGGATTTAATGGAATTTATTAGTTTTGTTTGTTCTTTCTAATAGTAGAGATTGTGGAGCATGTAATGATAACTTGTGGAATTACTGCTAAAGTTATCATTCTGGATATTATGAACATGGGATTTTCTTCAATTTGTGTCGGATATAGGGTTAAAGCTGATTCTGTTGCACCTTGTTTTGTTTCTCTTATTGATCAGATGTCTCTTGTTTTGGTCTCTTTTTAAATGTTAGCAATAATCACAAACCTCACTAGTTGCATTATTAGAGTGAGTACTATATATGCATGTTCTTTTCTCATGGTTGATGTTTGGGTGATTGAAGTAAAAGAAAGGGTCTGATAGGCTATAATTAGTACGATCGTATGGGTGCCGCTGGTCTTTGATTATTTGCTTCCTTTTGCACTTCCGAACACTAATAATCTTTATTTCATCCTGTCTGAAAACATGCAGGAGCCATGATGTTGTGTTAATAAGGGTTTATCTTAGGAATTAGAGAGGGGAGAGGAATGATCTATGGGCTGTCAACTTTCCCCTAAATGGATTGACATTTATCGGTCATGCATGGTTTGCTAAAATTAGTAGTATTTCAGGAGGCTAATGGTGCCAAATTTACTTTTTTTTTGGTTAAGAAAGCATGATGAGCTGGAGGCCCAATATTTCATAATATTAGCTCAATAAAACATCTCCAAAATGCAACGCTCCCCTAGTGTTTGCTTGTATGTATTAGTGTAAAAGTCTAGTGATCTATGTAAGGCAATACGAGGAGATCAAACTAGGAACTTTCCGGGTTCATAAGGTTGGTAACAAATAAAACTTTCAAAGCCGATAAGCTTCCAATTTCACTATGATCAACTAGTTCACATTAATTTGGTTCCTAAACCCTCTTTGATTGCAAAAAGATCAAGCTAATCAAGACTAAACATCGTAGGAAGGGGTTGAAATCTCTGTATCAGTCCTGATGTTGGTTCAACTATACTTTTTTTTTTGGATTTTGGAGTTTCCACATTTTTGGTAGGCCTGAATCAGAAGCATCAGACTTGGAACAACACATTTTTTCGCAAGTTATTTATCTTCTTTTTTAATTTTGGTTGGCGCATTCCCTGGTCTAGATGATATTCTGGGACCCGCATGCAACATTGAGGATTTTCCTGTCGCTATTGTGGGGCCATGTGATGCTCCCTTTAAGGGGCTGAAGGTGGCGCAGTTGGAGGAAAATGCCACAATTTCAAGTGTAGTTTCTTTGTCAAAATCTGCAGATAGCATGGGATCTTTACCTGAGGTTTCAACTATAAGTCAAAAGCTTAAAGTTGCCGGAAGAAAAGCGAATAATGACATTTATAAGCTTAAAGTTGCTGGAAGATATGCGAATAATGACATTAATAAGAGCACTGACACTGATCTTAATTCCTTTCTGATGAAGAAAATACCATCTTCAAGTTCCGTGTGTGAACCTTTGATCAAGCCCATTAAGCTTTCTAAAAACTTGAATTCTGAAAGTGTTTCTGCTAAGGAAAATATTTCCATGGAGAATTCTCCAAAAATGGTAAATCAGATTGATCTTGATGTGGATTCACCGTGTTGGAAAGGAACTTTAGCTTATGGACAATCAAAAGATATTCTAAGAACATCTCAAGCACAAGATAAAGAAGCATCACAATTGGATGGAGAGTTCGTGTTTACGGATGACATTGCTGACATGATCTACATTACTGATATTACCGACATTACCAATCCTGAGTCTGCTGGTTTTAAGGATGCAGTTCAAAAGAGCTCATCTCATATTCAATGTAGTGCTAGCGATGTCACTTCTCCAAATGTTACTGTTGAGTCTCATGGTCCAGCTATCATTCTAGGCAAACATTCATCTGCAGGAGAACATGCAGCGCTAATTGACGAGACTCTGCAGTGCTTACATAGAAGGCTTTTGTCTCGTACCTTTAAAGATGAGAATTCACTAAAGAAGCTTCTCGATGACATCCTCCTTTTAGCAAATGATTATCCCGAAGCCTTTGTGCACAGGAACAAAAAGGTATTTAGTTCTAGTATGTATATGTTGATGCAATTTTCTTGTAGTCCTAGGTCTTTTACAGTTCATCAAGAAGTCAGTACTCAGATAATATAGGGGCTGCATAATAATTGGTATTTGTAAAAGAAGAAAAATATCTAAGAACCAGTTAAACATTTCTAACCAGGATTTTTGGAGTAATTCTTTTTGAGATTCTTACATCACCTTTCTTCCATATTTGACGTATAATCTACCTAGACGCACATTATATGCATAGACAAGTACATCGTTTTTCTTGAAAATATCAGTAGGGCACTATGTGCGTCTTCATGGATCAAAAGCTCTACAATGGCTATAAAATGTTAAATTCTCTTTATAACATAAAAGTAAAAATGCATATTTCATTTGTCGTTTCTGTTTCCAATTAATGCATCAGCTTAAGTTTTCGCCTTAGTTTGTCTCATTTGATATTTCTCCTGCATTAAACACAGGGTTTTGTTAAAGAGAACTTACATGATGCTGAACTGGACTTTGCTCAGTCACAGATTACTGAACTAGAATGCTGTTCCAGTGAAATGGAGGAAAAATTTACGCATTTGATTGGGTCAAGCATCAGTGATAAGTTTGATAACCTACCCTCAGATCCCACTATAATAAGAAGCTTGGCTAATGTATGCAATTCACACTTTTGAAAAACACTGATGAAATCTCTCTTCTCCTCATCTTTAACTCATTTGCTTAATTTTTTTTATTCTGTTACAGGACTTCGATAAGATTCTGAGAATGAATTTCTCTGAGCGGGAAGAAAATCCTCGTGCATTATTGCACAAAAATCTCTGGATTGAGGCGCAGGTTAAGTTGTTGACAATGAAGTATGAGCTTCAACTTGCCCAGGCAAAAGCAACGAGTCATTTGTAGCTAAAGCTTCCTCCATGAGGAATGTCACATGAGGAAAATTAGTAGGGCTTTGGTTTGAAGTGCAACCGTGTAAGTGAAAACTGCATCCTTTTTTGAGAATTAGTTGCGTTCAAGTCTGGTGGATTGTGAGCCTAGAAAGTCACTTGGGTGAAAACAAAATAGTTGATGCTCTCTGTATTTTTTTTATGTTACAAGGGGGCATCTTTAAGATTTTTTTGCACAGAGTTCAATTCATTTTGTTAACTACAGCTTTGAACAGTAACCATAACTACAGTTGAATTGTACTTTATATATAAAAATATATGTGAACAGATCATAGTTGGATGGTAGAATTTTGGTTGTCTGGATTTCTTGGTCGAATATTAGTAGGGAGGAAGGATTCTATCAGAACACTTTATAGATAGATGGAAATGGTTGATCTATAAGTGACTGCGGAGGGCACGTGATTATGTAAATTCATTGGAATTGAGATTCTATAATATAGTAAAATAAGAAATAAGAAATAAAATTCACAATGTACTCAATATATTTTTGGAAAACTTTAACAAATCTCCCTTAATAAGTAATTTCTAGACTCAGAAAACCTTTCCGCATTTATTAGTTGATATACAAATCCCATTAAACTTATAATTGAGTCATGTTGATTGCTTTCCTTACTTGAATATTCATTTTATTAAAGATTTGATGAATAAAGAAATATAGAAATATTTTTGATTCTAGTGAACATATTGGGCAGGTTTCTAAAGTTTTATCCCAATAAATGAAAACCACAGACATAAATTTAAATGATACAAAATGGGGAGGACAACGTTATGAAAAATCCCTCAAGGACAAAAAATATGGGACCAATAGGGAGGACAAGTGAGATGTCCCCCTCCTATTGGATAATGAGTTGGTCATCATTAATGATGGTTAACTCATTATCCAATAAGAGGTGGACATCTCACTTGTCCTCCCTATTGGTCTCATATTTTGGGTCCATGTAGCAAAGCCCTTTTTATAATTGTACACGCTCAAAAGGTTAGGATGCTCTCAATGGCTCGAAAGGTTAATAAACGCATCATTAACCATACAAGTAGTAGATTATCTATAAATTTTATCCTATGTTTACGCCACTTGGCTAGACTACAAGAGCATGGCTTAGACCTAGTCATCCACAAAAACTACTTAAGAAATGTAAATTACAAAGAAGCTTTTCCTCAAAAAAAGGGGGAAAAAAGAAAAAAAATTACTGATAAATGTTCCTCTAAAATGTGGGAGAATTTTAAAGTGAAAAAAATAAGCATGTAATTTCTCCCGTTCAAAAACTTTACAAAACCCTCCTTTACAAATATTCAAACCATTTTTTTTTCGCAGTTTAAGTAAATGAGAGGTTGTAAGTGGAAAACAAGTTCCCATCTACTCCTTCACAAATATTCAAACCATTTTTTCCCGCAGTTTATGTAAATGAGAGGTCGCAAGTGGAAATACTGTTCACGCTGTACTACAGTATTTACTACATATGCGTAATTTTCTTCATAAACAGTAAAATCAACCCTGCTACTCCATACTTGAATGTAGTATTCATATTGCTGGAATTTACTGTATCATAAACACCAAAGCAAATCAAATGTATTAAAACTTGGATCGTTTTTTAAGTAGGAAAATGATAGGGGCACACCTCCAACCACAACCTCAACCACACTCCCCCTCTCAAATTTAAAATCTCATGTGGGGCCCGGTGCACTGTAGCAAATGAGAGAGGGAGTGTGGTTGAGGTTGTGGTTGGAGGTGTGCCCCTAGTGCCACCCTTTTAAGTATAGAAGAATATATATGATTTCTAAATAAAATGTATTAAAACTTGAATCATTCTTCAAGTATAAATGAATAAATATAATTTTTAATTTTAAACATATCATAATTAAATTAAATATATTAAAATTTAGAGAGAGTCAAATTTAAAATTTAAAATATAGTGCTTAAAAAATATGGGGCCTTATTATGCACCGGCTGTCTAGCAGTACGCTTAAAAAATATATGATAGAATCCAATTTGAAATCTGCAACTAAAAATGAATCCTTAATCAATCTCAACGACCGATCCTAATATCCTATATAAACGTGCGCTCTCTCTCTCTCTCTTCAATCTCTCTCTCTCTCTCTCTCTCTATAAAACCCTCTCACCTCCGGCGATGTACGCCTCCGCCGGCGGCGCTCGGCCACCTCCGGCGAATAGGCCAGTCGTAAGCCCAATGCCGATTCGCTCAGCTTTCAATCTCAATGGAAACCCTAACCCTAATTATTATCCAGGGATTTTAGTGGATGACTTGTTTCCCAAAGGTACCATCTTTGTATGCAAACTATCTCTGCTTTTGTATTTGTTATTATGATTCTATATAGTCGATAAAGATGATCGTGATTTTGTTGCTATGGAGTCAAGAATTGTTTGAACGCTGGTCATGGATTGTAAAATTTCTTAAAATTTAGATAATTAGATGAAAAAGGTAGATTCTTAATTCAGGCTCCTTTTTTTAAGGAACTTTGGAAAATAAGTTTTGACTGGTTTGCTGTCCGTGAATTCGAGAGAGATGCAGTGGCAGATCAAGAAATTTTTTCTGAAGGAGCAGACAACAAATATCTATTTGTCTAAAAGTAATTGTATGATATTATAAACTATAGTATCCTATGGAAATGCGCTCTGCTAATTCAATTTTCTACTAACGTACTTGGTGTTTTGAGATGGACTGGGGTGCAATTTTTAAAATCTATGGAGGGGCACATGAATCTTACGAGGGATTACATGTATTATGTAAATTTATAAGGGTGTCATAATGCCATTGCACCCCAACCCCTATACCTAAATCCAATGTTTTAAAAAGCCTCCGCCTAGCCCGCCTTGGTGCGCCTAGGCGGTACCTTGGCCACTTGCCTAGCGCCTAGCACCTAGGCGTTACCTAAGCTTCCATTTATGTTTTAGGAGCGCTAAGGTGAGTGTGGAATGCTTATGTGGATTGCACCCTTTAGGCATTGATCGTGATTTCCTCCGTTTTAGCCTCCACATTCTCCGACCTCCTCCAAACTCCTCCAAACTCCTCTAGGCTTCAATTGTGAACAACTCTTCTATCTCCTCCGACCTTTAGCAAAACATCCTCCACCACTACTTAAACAAAGAGAGAAATCCCTCTAGGCGCCAGTTCAACATCTAATCTTTGTATAACATTGATATTTACTATCAATTATTATAATTTAAAAAAACTGCTTAGACCCGCCTAGGCTTCCTCCTAGGCGTCTAGGCGCTAGGCGTTGGGTCAAACACCTAGGCCGCCTAGCGCTTTTTGTAACGTTACCTAAATCTCCCCCTTGAATGGCTAGGTGGTTGATGAATTTTGAGAGGATTTATGCAGAAATGATGCTCTATGACATTAGGAAGCTCGAAAGATATGTCTAATAGTAGATAAGATAGATACTGTTTCCAAATAGTTGCTATTGCTTTCCACATTATGTGTTTGGCTATAGTGTGCCTTTTTTGCTATAAAGAAGAGCTAAATTTAGAATGCAATTCTGGTTCCATGATTATAAAAATCTATAAGGGTTTTAGAGTGTATCTAAACAACTAAATGATATAAAACCCTTGGATTGATATTTTGAAAAATCATGTTGTACTCTGTACATTTTTCTTGAGATTTTAGTAAACATGATATAATCAATCAAATAAATAAATAAATAAAATAAACATGGTATAACCAAATTTAAATGTTTTCTCTACATCCCTTTGATTAAGAGAAGTGGTAAACCTTTTGTTTTTCGTGTTTTGAATACATACCCACATTTCTAAAAAAATAAACTGCATAGTAATGAGAAGTTGTGACATACAGTTTTGTTGGAAGATTGGAAAACTTGTTTTGTCTATAATGAAAGATTGAAAAATATTATTGTTACCTACTTGTATGTCCAAGTGATAAATGGTGTTCACACCCAACAAAAACAGAGAAGTGTCCTTACACATATCGTTACTTTTAAAAATCTCACATGTTGTTCCTATTATTGACTTAATCTAATCACAGGTTAATCATAAAGATAATGGTGAAATTTTATAGATCACAAGATAAACACCTATTTCTGAATTATATCTTTCTTGGTAACATTTATGCCTGCAGTTCTCTATTTTATGTATTCCTTTGATAAAAATCTATTGCCAACCTTAAAATTTGCAATTCATTATCTTCAATTATATTGCGTCACTTCTCTGTCTAGACTTGTTAACTCAGCAGTTGCAGCCCACTTTGTTTATATTGGGCACAATTGCTCTTATGTCCTTGAACCAGTAACAAAAAGGATTGCTTTGAAGTAGGCTCTAATTTCTCTGCCATTGCTGTTGGGAGTTTAGTTTAGTACTCTCTTATTATTTTTACTGTGATTCATTGGTTATATTGTCTTCTAGCCAATTTATCACAAAGAAAATCTAATCCTCACATTTTTTTTATAATATATGTTTCATCAAGTAGGTTGTTGGTATGAAAATACTTATAATTATTGGTCTACAGAGCCTGATATTCTCCTTCCCCTGCCAAGAAGTTCATGTTATCAATATAGATGGCTGGATTTTTTAGGACAACCGTGGCCTCCAAACATGCCAGAAATTCCTTATTCTACCATCTGGGGATAATCAGTTAATGTGCAAAATGGCACAACTCCTTATAACATTTCTCCTATGGGAAGTCGTAAATCCCCTTACAATATTTCTAAGGAATCAGATTTTAGTGAAAGACTCAGTACTTGTAACATCTCGGGGCATCATGTTGTTTTAAAAATGGTGTAGCACCTTATTTTCCGTTTCAGAAACCATTACATAAAAGCATGTTGTGTGGGACAGATAGAGAACCTTTTTATCTTCATGAAGACACTGAAGAAGGAAGAAATAGTAGGAAAGGGGAACCATTTTATCTTCATGAAGAAACTGAAGAAGGAAGAAATAGTAGGAAAGGGGAAATGGAAGCAAACAATAATCAACGAGCACACTTGGAGCAAGTAGAAGTCGCAAACCAGTTCAAGTCGGATGAACATGCAGAACATAAATTTACTAGTCTCCCTCATGCTATTGATGCAAGTATTCATGCTGATATTGTTGGGGAAATTGGTTCTTCTTTTCTCATGCCTGAAGCTGCACCACTGAGTGCCATACTGGAGGCACTACGACGCCTATCAGGCAACCTTTTGTCACCTGACTTTGTTTCTATTAAACTGAAGGGTCATGATCATGACCTTCTCCGTTTACTAATTGACAACATAGTAGCATTTGCCATGAGGAACAAAAAGGTACTTAATTGAGCAGGTGCATATTTAATTTGTTTTGGTCGTTTCTGATTATGGGCTAAAAATAGTGTAGACATGTCTCATATCAAGAAAACCAAGATGCCCAATGATATTTTTGTTGCATGTTTGCAGGATATTTAATTTGTTGAAATTGATTTTTAACGATACTGTTGATCCACAGTGTAACTGTTATAAGAAATTCTATGCTAGCTGAGTACTTCTATCATGAAGCCGTATCCATACCCGATACTTCCCATATCCATACCCATACCCATACCTTAGATTGCTTGGACACTCCTTACATGTATGCATACATTTATTCAGACATGTCCTCAATTATACTATACATGTTTGATTTAAACACTCATACATCCCATGGACATATTTCCTACATTGCACACCCATTTTTTGAAGCTTGTTGGACAAAGGTCGAGTTCATTTCAGCCTATATTCAGTTAAGAACTATGATTTCAAAGGGTCCTATGCATATTTAGCTTAAAATTATGACTACAGCCCATGCATTTTAGCTATGTCCTTTTACCCTACCTTTTACAACTTTGTTGTGTCCTGTGTGTTAGGAAATCAGATACGTTCTGATACCCGTTGTTGGGGATTCAAGCTATCAATTGTTGGTATAACTGCTCCTTAGCTATTCAACCACCTGTCAAATATGAACCCTCTGCGAAATTTGCCCTATCGGATCTTGTGTTAAGCAATGGAAATAAGAAATCACACCAAATCAAAAATAATTGCAAGAACAGAGAACATTAAGTTTTAACGAGGTTCGACAACTTGCCTACGTCCTCGGGAACCACATAAATAATTTTCTTCATATTAAAGAAGATTACAAAGCTTGCAAAGAGAATATCTCAACTTGAGATCTCTCAAAAAAGAAGCAACAGAAACTTCTGTTCTTCTAAAGAAAGGGCGTGAGAATTTTCCAACTGGAAAATCTCTCTATCCTCAATAAATAGCTACAAGAATAAGTGTGAGATTTTCTTCTAAAATCTCACTCAAAATCTCAGCGGAGAAGAAAACTCAGCCGTCGCCAAGCTCTCTCTTAGAAAAAAAATCTCCTGAGAATTCTCCTCAACGATTTCTCGTGCTCAGGCCCTTTTATAAGAAAACCCTAGGACAGGCTGTAGTGAGCTGTTCCGCACTCACACGAGCACTCAAAACTCGCCTGTGAAACCACCGCTTGAGCTCGCCTGTAAAGGACCTCGCCTATAGAAGATCCAGACCTCGCCTGTAAACCTTAGCGCCACGAGCTCACCTGCAGCAAAGTTCGACTTCGCCTGCAGTAAACGTCAGATCCGAGCTCGCCTGAGATCTCACGTCGACTCCAGATCTCGCCAGCATATCTCGAGGTCGCCTGCAACGTCGCTGGCCAGAGTAGGTCTCGACCTCGCCTGAAGGTCGCGACGTCGACCTCGAGCTCACCTGAACTCACCGCCGCTGACAGGTATGAGTCTACACCCAATTTCTAACAATCTCCCACTTGGAGACCAAACCGTCATCAACAAGCTCTCTCTTAACAAGCATCTTCTTCTGTGTGGCTCCGTCCTCATTTTTTACATATGAAGGCCAACTGAAGTTGCGCACAACTCCAGTTTTTGAATGGTGACTGCCTTAGTCAACATATCTGTAGGATTTTGGTTCCCCAAAATCTTCTCTAACTGTAACTTCCTGTCCTCAATCATAGAGCGTATGAAGTGGTAACGTAACTCGATGTGCTTCGTTCTAGCATGAAACACTAGGTTCCTAGCAAGGTGTATAGCACTCTGGCTATCACAATAAAGAACTTCGTTCCCTCGCTTCAGACCCAACTCTTCCAGGCACCCGGTTAACCAAATCATTTCCTTGCTCGCCTCGGTCACTGCGACATACTCTGCCTCAGTTATGGGTAATGTCACAATCTTCTGCAAACGTGAGACCCAGCTCACTGCTGTCGATCCTAAGGTATAAACATACCCCGTGGTGTTTCGCCTCGTATCATGATCACCGATAAAATCTACATCCATGTATCCCTACAATATCAACTCCTTTCTCCCGAAATACAGTGGCATATTCGTAGTCCCTCTCAGATATCGCAATATCCATTTCACGGTCTCCCAATGCTGCTTCATTGGGTTGCTTGCAAACCTGCTCATAACTCCCACTGCATGGACAATATCCGACCTCGTGCAAACCATTGCGTACATCAAACTATCAATGACTGATGAATACGATACCTTCCTTATGTGCTCCTTTTCTGCATCAGCCTTAGGTGATTGTTCACCAGATAACTTGAACTGGTTTCCAAGGGGAATGCTAACGACCTTAGCATTCTGCATGTTGAATTTCTGAAGTACTTTCTTAATGTATTCAGATAGACTCAACTTCAACATCCCCTCAGCTGCATCCCGGCTGATCCGCATCCCAAGAATCTGCTTCGCAGCACCCGGATCCTTCATGTCAAACTCCTTTGCTAACTGTTTCTTCGGCTTGTTTATCTCCTGTAAACACGGTCTGCAACTAACATGTCATCAACGTACAACAATAACACGATATAGCTGGACTCAAACCTCTTAAAGTAACAACAATGATCTGAATTACATCTGCCATAGCCATTATTCTACATGAAGTTATCGAACTTCTTATACCACTGCAGTGGAGCCTGTTTCAATCCGTATAAGCTCTTTTTGAGCCTACACACTATCTCTTCCTTTCCTTCCTTAATGAAGCCAACAGGTTGTTTCGTGTAAATTTCCAGTCTTCACATCTAACTGCTCAAGGTAGAGATTTTCAGCAGCTACCAAGCTTAACACCACCTTGATGGTTGTGAGCTTCACAACAGGGGGAAATATCTTCGTATAATCCACTCAATCCCGCTGATGGAACCCCTTCACGGCTAATCTGACATTGTATCTCTTCCTTCTATCACTCTCCTGCTTGACTCGGTAAACCCACTTGTTATGTAAGGCCTTCTTCTGTGCAGGTATCTGGGCTAATTCTCATGTCTCGTTCGAGTGGAGAGAATTCATCTCTTCTTGCATTGCATGCTCCCACTGCTGAGATTCGCTCACTTGCATAGCCTCATAGCATTCTGGTTCTTCGCTATCTGTCAAAAGTAGATAGTCTAGTGACGAAAGATACCTGAGATTCGGTTTGGGTACACTGGATGACCTCCTAAGCTCATCGCCCTAGGTAGTCGGTTCTGCACCTGGAGTCTCCTCCGTTCTTTGGTCAGAATTAACGTTGTCTCCCCCATCTGGAAGTTCCTTTAAATCCATGTACTCGGATGCAGCCGCATCTGTAGTGCTGCTCCCATTGTTTTAGCCCGCCTTGGCATTGTCCCTATCCTTGTACATCACTTTCTCATTGAATATGACGTCTCGGCTCCTGATGATCTTCCTGTTCTTCTCATCCCAAAGACAATTCCCGAACTCATTAATGCCGTACCCAATGAATATACACTTCAGTGACTTAGCTTTCAGCTTGTCCCTGACATGATCACTGATATGGACATATGCCACACAATCAAAGACTCTCAAGTGTGAAAGATTAACCTTCTTGCCACTCCAAACCTCTTCCGGAATCTCAAAGTCCAATGGAACTGATGGTCCGTGATATATCAGGTACGCTGTTGTATGCACCGCGTCCGCCCAAAAAGTTTTTGGTAGACCTGCATATAGACGCATGCTCCTCGCACGTTCTGTCAGCGTTCTGTTTATTCTTTCTGCTACGCCGTTCTGTTGTGGCGTCCCTGGAGTAGTCCTCTCCAAACAAATCCTGTTCAGAGCACAAAATTTCTTGAACTCCTCCAGTTCATATTCTCCACCATTGTCTGATCTCAGACACTTCATTTTTAGATCTGTTTCATTCTTCACCATGGCTTTCCACTTCTTAAAGATGTTGAACACCTCTGACTTGTGCTTCATGAAGTATACCCATACCTTCCTCGAGTGATCATCGATAAAGGTGACGTAGTACGCCGAACCGTCAAGAGAAGACACGCTAGCTGGACCCCATACATCTGTATGAACAAGCTCTAGCTTGTGAGCTTTAGGTCTAGCTGGACCCCATACATCTGTATGAACAAGCTCTAGCTTGTGAGCTTTAGGTGGTCTTCCACCCTTCAGAAAACTAACTCTCTTCTGCTTCCCGAAGATGCAGTCTTCACAAACACCGACTTCCACAGAGTCGATACCGGTTAGCTTCCTTCTGACTGTAGAATCTTCATACCCTTCTCACTCATATGTCCCAGCCTATTATGCTACAGATCTGCACTCTTATTGCCTGTAGCAATCGCGAGGGTGTCACTCGCGTGTGAAGTTAGGTAGAGGGTACCGGTTTTGTTACCATGGGAAACCACCATTGTACCGTTGGAGATTTTTCACGAATCTCCGGTGAATGTTGTAACATAGTGTTCTGCTCCGAGCTGGCCAACCGAAATAAGATTCCTCTTCAACTTCGGTACGTGTCTGACGTTCTACAGAGACCACTTGGAGCCCTTCAACTGTATTTGCACGTCGCCTCTTCCAATTACACTACATGGTTCATTATCCCCCAAGTATACTTTCCCAAAGTTCCCTACTACATAGTTCTGAAATAGCCTTCTATTAGCAGTGGCGTGGAAAGAGGCCCCGAATCAATGACCCATGAATCAGAATCGCTATCCATAGCGAGAATCAATGCATCTTGCACAATATGAACCTCCTGCTCATTTTTCTTCGGTGCTTTACAGGTAGAAGACTTGTGACCCTCCTGGCCGCAGTTCCAACATTTCCCCTTGATGGGTCTCACCTTCGAGTTCGACCTCTTCTTCTTCGACTTCGATCTATTCCTATTTTGGTTTCCTCTATTATGGCTGCTGTCTCTCTGCTCGAGACTTAGGGCTGAACCTGAACCTTCTGATTCATTCGATTTTTTTCTAACCTCCTCGGATAGAATCATAGCTACCACCTCCTTCAGCTTTAACTTCTCTTTCCTCGTCGAGTTGCTGATTGCGGTCACGCAACTTG